GGAGAGGGGGAGGAGGAGGAGGAGCAGGAGGAACAGGGGGAGGAGGAGGAGGAGCAGGAGGAACAGGAGGAGGAGGATGAGGAAAAGGAGCAGGAAGAGGAAGAAGAGGAGGAGTGGGAAGAGGATGAGGAGGATTAAAGGGATATTAATAATTTTTTCATCTCTACTGTTTTTATTGTTCGTTTTTTTGTATTTTGATGCCTCTTATTATGTCTATTATTATCATTCTTATCATTAATATTTTGATTCCTATTAGTATTGCCATCATCATCATTATCATCCTGTTCATTTATTATTATTGTCATTGTTTTTATAGTACTAATCATCATTACTATAACCGTCATCATTATTATTATTGTTATTTTTTGTTGTCAACTATTACTATTATTATGGTTGCAAATATTATTAGTATTCCCATTATTATTGTTATTATTTGTTAACATTATTATCACTACTATTATTTTCGTATGTATTATTACTGTTCTTATTTTTATTACTATTAGGAATCATCATACTAATAATACTATTAATACTAATTATAAGATAAAGAAGACTACTAAGAGTCGGAGGCTGTGTGGTGAAATCAGAGTGGATCGGCGACCCCAACCGGGAAATCGGTTTCGGTTTCGTGTTCGTGTCGTGCGTGCGGGCGAGGCGAAGCTGCAAGTGATCCTCTTGTAGCTAGGCCGAAGCAGGAGTGAAAGTCCGGGTGCCCCTCCGCCGGTGGCCGGTTGGGCTGGGCGGTGTCCCGGTTGGGCCGGGCGGTGTCCCGTGGTGTCTCGTGGTGTCCCGTGGTGTCCCGTGGTGTCCCGTGGTGTCCCGTGGTGTCCCGTTGACCGCCGGTGGCTGGGAGGTGTCCTGGTTGGGCCGGGCGGTGTCCCGGGGTGTCCCGTGGTGTCCCGTGGTGGCCCGTGGTGTTCCGTGGTGTCCCGTTGAGTAAGATCGACCGTGAGATCGATAGTGAGATCGATACTGAGATCGATGTGGTGCCCCGAGGTGTCCCGTGGTGTTCCGTGGTGTCCCGTTGAGTGAGATCGATAGTGAGATCGATAGTGAGATCGACAGGTGTCCCGTGGTGTCCCGTGGTGTCCCGTTGAGTGAGATCGATCGTGAGATCGATAGTGAGATCGATGTGGTGTCCCGAGGTGTCCCGTGGTGTCCTGTGGTGTCCCGCTGAGTGAGATTGATATTGAGATCGATAGTGAGATCGACAGATATCCCGAGGTGTCCCGTGGTGTCCCGTTGAGTGCGATCGATAGTGAGATCGATCGTGAGATCGATACTGAGATCGATGTGGTGTCCCGAGGTGTCCCGTGGTGTCCTACTGTGTCCCGCTGAGTGAGATCGATAGTGAGATCGATAGTGAGACCGAGGTGTCTCGCGGTGTCCCGTGGTGTCCCGTGGTGGCCCGTGGTGTCCCGTGGTGTCCCGTTGAGTGAGATCGATCGTGAGATCGATTGTGAGATCGATGTGGTGTCCCGAGGTGTCCCGTGGTGTCCCGCTGAGTGAGATCGATAGTGAGATCGACAGGTGTCCCGTCGTGTCCTATGGTGTCCCGCTGAGTGAGATCGATCGTGAGATCGATAGTGAGATCGATGTGGTGTCCCGAGGTGTCCCGTGGTGTCCTGTGGTGTCCCGCTGAGTGAGCTCGATAGTGAGATCGATAGTGAGATCGATGTGGTGTCCCGAGGTGTCCCGTGGTGTCCCGTGGTGGCCCGTGGTGTCCCGTGGTGTCCCGTTGAGTGAGATCGATAGTGAGATCCACAAGTGTCCCGTTGTGTCCCGTGGTGTCCCGTGGTGTCCCGTTGAGTGAGATCGATAGTGAGATCGAGTGAGTCACATGTTGGTTCCCCCCCCTCTCCCCCCCCACAACCTCCTTATCACCCGAAGGGTAGTCGTATAGATAACAAGAATACTAATAATAATATACTCATACGACCACCCTGCGGGTGATAACTAGTTTGAGGGGGGAGGGGGTCAGCAATGAGCAACAGTGGTTATCGTTGTTCTGACGATGCCAGTGGAGATTGTTGCGTTGCCGCTCGCTCTTGGGAGCCTTGGTGTCGAGTTGTTTACGTCACCCTTCGCTCTTGGGCGCCTTGGTACCAGTCCCCCCCCACCCGTCGATCCCACAATCGATCTCACCATCGATCTCACTCGATCGATCTCACTATCACTATCGATTTTACAATCGATCTCACAATCGATATCACTAACGGTCTCACTATTGTTTTCGCATCAGCGGGACACCGGGACACTAGCGGGACACTAGCGGGACACCGGCGGGACACTGGCGGGACAACGCGCGGCCCCGTTTGCCGGTCGGGAAACATTTGGTCCGGCCGCGCCTCAGCCACAGGAGACTTACCAGGACACCAGCGGGACACTGGCGGGACACCGGCGGGACACCGCGCGGCCCCGCTTGCCGGGGGGGAATCATTTGGGCCGGCCGCGCCTCAGCCGCAGGAGACTTTCCTTTCGCCCGCCCACGCAGCTTCGCCTCGCCCGCACGCACGGCACGCACGAACACGAAACGGAAACCGATTTCCCAGTGGGGGGCTCTCCGTTCCACTTCGATCTCACCCCCCAACCTCCGACTATTATAATTATCATAAGACTAATGGTAATAGTAAGAATATAGTAGTAGTAGTAGTAGTAGTAGTAGTAGTAGTAGTAGTAGTAGTAGTCGTACTAGTAGTAGTAGTAGTAGTAGTAGTAGTAGTAGTAGTAGTAGTAGTAGTAGTCGTAGTAATATTACCAATGCCAAGAATAATAATAAGAACAATAGGAATTATACTAATAATAACACTAAGAAGAGTAGTTCTAATAATGACAGGAATAAGAAGAATCATCATCCTTCTAAGAAGAAGACGAATTCAATTCATAATCGTAGTAATAATGATAGTAATAATACTCATAACAAGAATAGTAATTCATCATAATAATGGGAAAAACTAATGATGATAGCAATAAGAGTAAGAACAACATGAACAATCTGAATAATAATAGTGTGAACAAAAACAGTATGATTTTTATTAGTAATACTAAGAATACTGATAATAACAAGCAGACGAATATTAATAACAATAATAATACTAGTAATAAGCATACTACGAAGACGAGTACTAGTATCAGTAACAATACTAACAATCAGAGTAACATGAATAATGCTAACAATAATGATAAGAAAAGTAAGAAACGTATTTCTAATATCAAGCATACTACCATGAATTAGAAGACTACTAATACTAACCGTGAGAATAATAATAAGAAGAAACGTAATAACAATAAGAGGAGGTGGAGGATGAGGAGGAGGATAATAATAATAATAATAATAAAAGGAGGAATACGAGGATAATAATAATAACAATAACAGGAGGATAATAATAATAACAGAAGAGGATAATGATAATAATAACAGGAGGAGTGGCGCCACCCGCCTCGCACGGCAAGGGCGGCCTCTCTGGCGCTTGCAGTCATTGCCGCCGCCGCTGCCGCCGCTGCCGCCGCCGCCGCCGTCGTCGTCGTCGTCGTTGTCGTCGTCGTCGCCGTCGTCGCCGTCGAGTCCAGTCGAGTCGAGTCCAGTCCAGTCGAGTCGAGTCGTCGTCGCCATTGTCGTCGTTGTCGTCGTCGTCGTCGTCGTCGTCGTCGTCGTCGTCGTCGCCGTCGAGTCCAGTCGAGTCGAGTCGTCGTCGCCGGCGCCGCCGCCGCACGCCGTCGCCGCCGGCGCCGCAGCGTCGGGGCGCAGCGGCGCGGCCGCCGTCCGCGCGCGTGCTGCTGAGCGGCCCGAGGGCGGTGGCCGTGAAGGCGCGATCGGCCTCGCCAGCATGGGGGGCTCTGGGGCGCTCTGCGCGGGGTCGTCGGCGGCGGCCGGGGCCGCGCTTGCCATGTGGCCGCCCCAGGCACCAGCCGCGACGGCGGCCCTGAAGGCGCTGTCACCTATCCTGCCAGGCGGGTCCTCGGCTTTGGCAGCTCTGGGGGGTGCTCTTTCCCTTCCTCCTCCCGGGTCCTCCTCCTCTTCTCCTTCCCCTCTGGCTCCTGTTTCCTTATCGTTATTCTACTACTACTCTATCTGTTCATCCGATTCCTCCAACGCCTTCCTTCTACCCCAACAGGTACCACCCTATCACAGATCATGCGTTGAGGAGATTGAGACGGAATTGTGAAAGTATTTCATTTACATTTTCCAGGACTGTCGGGCACATGCTCTTGCATATTTTTTGTCTTATTCGATTTTATCCAGCTGCCTGCGGCAGGTTCCGCTACCGTGCCAGTCCATCATTTGGGTGGCGACTCTTCGAAGGGATACGGGAGGTCGTCACGTGGTGCTGCTGATGATGATGGAAATGGTGGTGATGATGACGAGGGTGGTGATGATGATGATGATGGTGATGATGATGATGATGATGATGATGATGATGATGATGATGATCATGGTGGTGGTGGTGGTCGTGATGATGATGAGGATGAGGGTGCGGACGAGGATGCTGATGCTGATGCTAATCCTGCTGCTGCTGACGACGACGATGACAATGACAATGACGATGGCGATGACGATGATGATGATGATGATGATGATGATGATGCTGATTATGATGCTGATGCTGATGCTGCTTCTGATGCTGATGCTGATGCTGATACTGTTGATGATGACGATGCTGATGATGGTGATAACGCTGACGATAACGTTGACGACAATGATAACAATGACGATGATGAGGAGGATGAGGATGATGAGGAAGATGAGGATGATGATGCCGATGAAGATGACGATGATGAGGATGATGGTGACCATGATGATACTGATGATGATAGTGGTGATGATGCTAATGATGATGATGATGATGATGATGATGATGATGATGATGATGATGATGATGATGATGTTGCTGATGCTGACGCTGATGACGATGGCGACAATGATAATGATGATGATGATGATGCTGCTGTTGATCATGATGATGATGATGCTGCTGATGATGCTGATGATGATTATCACGATGATGACGATGATGATGATGATGATGATGATGATGATGATGATGATGATGATGATGATGAGGATGAGGATGAGGATGAGGATGAGGATGAGGATGAGGATGATGATGAGGAGGAGGAGGAGGAGGATAATGAGGAGGAGGAGAAGGAGGAGGAGCAGGAGGATGAGGAAGAGGAAGGTTGTTGCGTGTTGTGTGTGTGTATACATATATATATATATATATATATAGCTACTCGAGGAACTCTCGTGTAACTCGTTTGGACCGTCTTGAGGCCGTCCTGGCCTCCTGTACGGCAGTCTTGGGGGTCCCTTGGGGCCCTCTTTGGCCGCCTTTGGGCTCCTAACGCCGTCTTGGGGCTCACTTGGGCTGCCTTGGCTCCCTCTTGGCCGTATGGCGGGTGCCTGGGGGCCGTCGTGGGACCGTCTTCGGTTGTCCGAAGGCCTTCTGAGGCCGTCTCGGGTCTCACGGGAGGCTCTCTTGGGCCGTCTTGGGGCCGTTTCGCATACCTCTTGTGCCATCGTGGGGCCCCGTGGGCCATCTTGGAACCCCCTGTAGCCTCTTGGGCCGTCTTGGGCCGATTTGAGCTGACGGAAGCCCGAAAATGGGAGAATGCTAACGCTGTTTCAAAACAACAGCCCAAGAGACATCCATGATTTTTGGTTCGGACCCTGTTGGAGGTCCGTCCTGGACACATATTGGGCTGCCTCGTGGCCATCTTGGGCCGTCTTCGAGGCATCTTGGTGTCCTGGGTTGGTTGTCTGCATGTGCAGTCTCGGATCGGGCGCGCGGATCACGAGTTTGTTACGAGGGATCGTGGCCTTGGGAGGGCAGGCGATGCATGCAAGGAGGCGAGAGTACGCTGTGTGTGTGTCCCAAAATGGAGTGCAGAAACCATACTAAGCAGCCATTGGCCTTCTTCCACGCCTCAACGTTCACAAGGCACGATTGCGGATAAGACCTGTCTGTCAACCTCTACTCGGGCGAGATGTGCTTCACAGTTGTCGGCGAGACGTTGTACTTATCGGCATCGTACTAGTATTCCGGTCTTGAATATCTGTCCTTTTCCCCTTCCACTCTTGCTACAGATCCCTTGACGGTGCCTGCAGAGGAGGGGGCATCGGTTGTGGCGCTGTGATCTACCACCCTGATGACGTTGACGTACATCAGCTTCCGTACTGCACGCTTGTGGAGATGGTAGCAGTCGGGATGACGAGTGGCATGTAATCATTGTTAGTATCGAGCTCTGGTGCAGGGAGGAAATCATGCTTCTTGTGATCTAGGGCGTCAACGAGTCTGTCATGAACCAGTGTCTTGACATCTTGCATTGTTGGGACGAGGTGTGGGCAGCGCATTTTCGGTGTGTTATGGCACCTCTGGTCAGTACATACTCAACTGAATTTCGACATATTCGTCGGACTTTCAAATCATACGCGGACTATCGGGCCAGTCTCAGAATTGATTCTTGCGTCACGCGCAGCGTTTCTATTTCAGCCGTTCGTGTGCCTCTTTTTCCGGATTAGGACAAGCTTGATACCAGTTACCCGACCATAGTCACCGTCGACGGAGTGCCGTACACTCACTCGGTAGCAACGCACCTTGCTGGCGTATTTCAAGGTATTATAGGCTCCTTCGAGGTGGTGCCATCCTCCTTGTCTTGAGCCTTAGTGTTCAAGCATGCCCGGATCGACCGAGATCTTCCCGCTTCTCGTAATTGCTCCCAGTTTCGTCCTCGACTTCAGGGTCCCAAAGTGCTTGGATAGATGACAGCCTTCCCGTTTGTCGAACATGTCCTCCATACGATGTTGCACGCGCAAGGAATCATTGTCTTGTTTGCCTTGCGCTTTTGCCTAAGCAGGCGCTGGTGAAGTGGTTCCACCATTCACAGCCGTCACTATCCTATCGAGCCCGCCCCAAACATTGTGTGGCGCTATCTTGGATACGATATGAAAACAGCTTTCTCCTAAAGCGTGTGGCACTTTGCATATCGGACAGTCCGTTTTCGGCCTGAAACCAGTGCCCGTAATTTTGTTTCAGTGGTGTGCACAGGCGTTGCTTGGCTTCTTCTTTGCCAACTCTGATGTGGCGGAGGGGTTCGATCGAGTGACGCATCCATCATGTGAAATACAAGGCGTTCGGCCCAGCACGGTGCGTACGGATGTTCTGGCACATGTGGCAAGCGTCTGAGAGTGTGCGAATGCATGGTCGTCAAGCTTCGGCATATGCGATTGCGATGTCGCCGCCTCAAGGGAGCAAGTGGGGGCCGTGGTTCTGGACGGTGGTCTTGGAGTCTTGTAAGCCGCACGTGTGGGATACTTGCCAAACCCTGAAGCTAGCATTTGTTTTGCGCACGAATGCTCCGTATCCAGTGCGCGAGGCCTGGTGTGTCAGAATTGCATTGTCATGGAGGTGCCGTTCATCGTTGTTTCTTGCGGCGTTCTTGTCACTGTTCATGACGTCCGCGATGCAATCCAGATTTTCGAATTGCTCGGTGAGGCCTCGCGCAACCACGGCTTCGATGTACCAGCCGATGCTGTGCGCTGAGTTAGCCAGAGCAATGCAGATTCCAACCATGCGCTGCCTAGAACTACAAACGAGGTCCCCTCTGTCCTCCTCTACCCCTTCTTTTCGTCGCTCCCCGCCCCCCCCTCCTTTCTCTCGTCCTGCCCTGCTCTCTCCTCCACCCTCCGCCGTTTTTCTTCCCCCCTCTCTTCCCTTTCCCTTTCGGCGGCGAGCGAGGGGGGGAAGTGAGAAGGAGAGGGCCTTCTCGGAAGGCGGCGGGGCTTCCCAGAAGCCCCCGGGCCTTCCGGGAAGTTCGTCGTGCCGCCGGGGCAGGCTCGGAGCACTCCTCGGAGGGCCGGGGGGGACCTCCGAGCCTTCTTCTCCGAGGAGGCCCGCCCCTCCTAGGGAGGGAGGACGGACCGCACCGCGGTGACGTCCGGCACCCCTGGCGCGGCAGCCGTAGGCCCAGCGGGGCGGTTGCTTGACCGTGCCGGGGTGTTACCGCGGCCCGAGGGCCGGCGTCACAACTGCGAGTCCTAAAGCGAGTCCTCCTCGCTTCCCCCCCCTCGCTCGCCCCCGACTCCTCCTCCTCCTCCTCCCACCTGCGCGTCCAGCGCCCCGTCCGCTCCCAGGTGCGGCCAGCGCCACGGCGATGGTCACGGTGGGCTTCCCCTTCGACACAGTGAAGGTGAGGCTGCAGCTCGGCTCCCACGACTGCGCGAGGCGCTCCCCGTCCCTCCTCTTCCGGGCCCTGCTTCCCGATCTGGTGGCCTCCTCGTCGCCGCGCTGCCGGGCATGCTGGCAGTGTGGGCCAGGCGTTTCGCGTGAGGCTGCTTCGTGGTCCAGCATTTGCACGGGCGGACGTGTGGTCACTGTCAGATGGTGGCTTTCGCACTCGGGCCGCGCAGAAGCAATCGTCGTACAATCTGTCCCAGTAACCATTTTCTCGAATGGTTGGTGCGTTATTACCTTTTCATTCGGTGTGCGGAAGCGCCTGATAGGCTCCCGCCTGTTCTGTGAAGACACTCCTTGTGGCTTTCAGCCTCAGCTTGCTCGGGCCGTAGGTAGCTTCCCGTTTCTTAGAATGTTTGTTCTGGACTGGTTCCCAGGTACCGCTTTCGTTTCATCCTATCCTTTCTCCTCCCTCCTTGACCTCAGGGGCGCGAAATCCATCGCATGTTGTGGTTCTCGCATAGTTAAAGCGTTAATTTAGCTGACCTGGTTTCTTGTGCTCTCGGGGGTTCCTGGTCGCGTTTGCAAGAGGTGTTCGGCAGGACAATTTCAAGACATGGCGTCGCCAAGGGGCTGGTCAAGAATCCACATGATTGTTGTAAGGGGGGCATCTAAACTGCGAGTGGATATGGTCAGCGTTCTGGTCGGCGTCATGAGCACGGTCTGGGTCGTTGTCATCCGTTGTAGCGGCATGTGAGCCGTCGCCGTTGCATCATCTTCGGATGGGGGAGATAAAACAAACCGAAGACAGATCTCTCACTTGTTTGATGGACCTCCGCAGGCGTCCAGTCTGGCGGGCCTCCGCAGGAGTTCTGCGCAGAAGCCCCCGCGCTCAGAAGTCCTTCCCTTGAGCTCTCCCAGGAGTTCCCCCAATGAGCCCTCCAAGGAGTCGCCCTGGGAGCTTCTCCAAGGGTCCCCGCCAGGAGTCCTCCGGCAGAGTTCTCTTCGGGGGCATGCCCTGGAACTTCCGCAGTTGGTCACGCAAGGGACCTCCTCGGGCAGCGCCTCCGGGGCATCCGCAGGACTCCGCTCCCCAGGAGCCTGCCTCCAGGTGCCCTCCCAGGGAGCCCCCGCCCTGGGAGGCGAGCCCCCGCAGGAGTGCCCCCGCGGGGAGGCCCGAGTCCTCCCCGGGAGCTCCTCCGAGAGCCGCCCCGAGGAGAGCCTCCCCAGGGGACCCCCCCCCCCTCCGAAGGAGCCTTCCCCGGGAGCTCCTCAGAGGGCCGCCCCGAGGAGAGCCTCGCCAGGAGCTTCCCCCCCCCCCCCCCTCGAGAGAGCCCTCCCTTCCAGGAGGGGCTGCTCCTGGCTCGAGGCTCGAGGCTCCCCTCGCCCGCCGCGCCCCTCGCCCCGCTGCCTCTCGGCTCGAGGCTCGAGGCTCCCCTCGCCCGCCGCGCCTCCCGCCCCCCCCCCGGTCAGCAGCGAGCCGGCATGGCGGCGGAGCTCGAGGAGCCGAGGAAGCCGCAGAACGCCTACTGGATCTGGCTCAGCGAGAGCCGCGACGCGCTGACGAAGGAGGCCGGCAGCGCGAAGGGGTCCGTCGTCGGCAAGCTCGCGGGCGAGAAGTGGAAGGCCATGTCGGCGGAGGCCAGGAAGCCCTTCGAGGATCGGGCGGCGGAGCTGAAGTCCGCGTACGAGAAGGCCATGGAGGAGTTCAAGAGCGCTGGAGGCCAGGTGGGCAAGCGGCGCCTGGAGAAGAGCGAGGGGAAGAAGGCCAAAGCTGAGGGGAAGCAGGCCAAAGCTGACAAGAAGGCGAAAAAGGATGCCCGCGCGTC